AACATCATACATACATGCTTGAAATTTTTTACCTTACTTAGTGTACTTTAGACTTTTTGCGCATCCATCAATTCAATATGCAGGGACAGGGTCATGATTCCCGTTTCGAAATTAACATCCGCTCGCAACTCGGGCGCCTGGAGAGGAGTTCTGTGCCAAAATATTTTGAAAATCTCACGACAAAGTGCCTTTTCTATTTGAGATAAAATTCTTAAAAGAGAATTATCTGATAGTTGACTCATGGAAGTTTCTTGATATTGTAACGGAAATGGCCTGGGGTACTCACGTTTGGAATGGGGGATCGAAATTCATGGTATTTCAGTAAATGGGGCCCAAATGGGGCTCATTTATGACATTTATGCTCATTTATGACATCAAATATGACACTGACAAGCGGGAAGTTTCGCACCTGTTCTGGAGATTTCTAGAACTATCTGGAATACCTGGAGAAAAGTATATAAGCGACGACGAGAACCAGACAGGGGGAGTAAAGTGACAGGAGCGACCAAGTGCAGAAGAAGTTAAACTCCGGGAGTCGGAAACGCGTGTTTTCCGTTTGTTATTGTTGTTGTTTGTGAAGTTGACGTTAATTTAGAAGTTAGTTTGTTCCTGTTCCGTAGTTAAAGTTGTACCGAGTGGAATAAAAGTTGGAAGTAGGAGAAAGAGATTAATACTCGGCCATCCACGGTACAATATGATAGGTGTTATTTACACATAACATTAACAGATAATTCCTAAAAATCACATGGTAAATAATTGTGGATTATTTTATGCAGAGGATAAATGTTATTTTTTTGACGTGTTCATGTTTAGGAGTTGAACGAAGTGAGTGAAAATATCGCAAGTTATGAAAAGTAACCGCTTCTGCAAATTCGGCATTTCTGGCGTTCGACTGAGTAGTCGGCCGCAAAGATTTACTTTCTCTGGTGAAAGTTAACATGTTATTAATGTTTAAATTATATTTTTGCAGCCGGTAGGCGTCAAAGAAGAATGAGAATACCAGATAAGCCCAACTATCCTCTAAACTTGTGGTCCATCATGAAGAATTGTATTGGTAAAGATTTGTCCAAAATACCTATGCCTGTCAATTTTAATGAACCACTGAGTATGTTACAACGTTTAACAGAAGATTATGAATATGCTGACATATTGGATAAGGCCGCCAAGTTAGTGTAGGTAATTATCTGCTAGACACAATTTATATTTTTTACTTTCAGATGTACTGATCCGTGTGAACAATTAGCATATGTCGCGGCATATACAATTTCATCGTATGCAACCACTTCGAACAGAACGGGCAAGCCATTCAATCCTCTCTTAGGAGAAACTTATGAATGCGATCGGACAGATGATTTAGGTAAGAATTTTTTGTTGTTTTGTATTTATTATAACATTGATAGGCATCCGCTAGTTGAGCACAAAAGTAATTAGAATTAGTAATTATTATTAGAAGAATAGAGGGCATTGCACTGCAACAACTTATGACAAGCATATTATTTTCTTTATGCTGGCTTTATTACCACTGGTTACCGAAAGTGGTGGAGACGGGACCGCGATTTCGTCTTTAAATTGTTCATCGATGTCTTTAGCTGGGTGGCCCAAGTCCACAAAAGAACTATGAGCCAACCTGGCATGACTCGAATCTCGGATCCACTCGGTCTGGACTGATTCGACAACCGGGTTTGCCGAGGATTCACGTCTCGCCAACTTATGAAATTGAAAGCAAAATATCTTAGATATTTTTAATTTTATTAAATTAAGTTCACTATAGTTTTTGTAAATTTTGAAAGAACATGTTAGATAATTTGTACTACAGTTGAACGCGGCTTTATATGTAGACATACAAAAGGTCCGTTAAAACCTGAGATTCGTATTTGGAAAATTTCGAGATCCGGGCCCGTCTGGTCTTTTCAAAGGCTCACTGAATTGGGTCAGTTCCGACCCAATTCATCACTAGCAGTAGCTAATTTCAGGCTAAGCCGGGCTGATGAGAGCTAATAGGCTCGAAACCGGTCCCGGGGGTGCCTGAGGTTGGCGAACCTCGAAACTTGCACTATCTTACATGATATCTTATTCGGATGTTATCGACGAAATTCTTGGCTTTATTAATATGTTTTTTAACACTGGAAGCTCGTGCTCGGTACCATATTTATCAGTGACAGTCGAATTTCAACTTTGTTATTAACTATTATTTTAAAATAATGTAAATTTTTGAAGATGCCAATTCTTTTTAATATGAATAATAATGCACACTGTACCATTTCAGGGTGGCGATGCTTTAGTGAACAAGTCTCTCATCATCCCCCAATAGTCGCCCAATATTGTGAGGGCGCGGAATGGCATTGTTGGCAAGAATTTACGATGACATCCAAGTTCAGAGGAAAATATTTACAAGTACGTTGTCATTTTAGAGTTTTCATTGAGTTGAAATAGCATGTTCTATATTGCAGATTATTCCACTAGGAAGTGCCCAAGCAGAATTTTTAAAAAGCGGGAACAAGTACTCTTGGAGAAAAGTAACAACTACTGTCCATAACATTATTGTAGGAAAATTATGGGTAGATCAACATGGTACGTATACAGGAATAAAAAAATCGCCGATTTAGATAAGTAGTTCTAATAGTAAATGAAATAGCACCCCCACCGAGGGGATACATTTTAAAGAGCATAATTCATGCTCCAATGCTCTATCCAATGATTTAAAAAACTCGAATCCGTCGATTTACGATTTAGAAGAGAAAATGTTAATAACGAAATATTATGTTTTATATTATATATCGAGGGTTTAAAGCTAAACGTGATCAAGTCCAAAATTGCCGTATTTGTGTATTGACCAAGTAATTTAAAAAAATAATATATTTGGCTTCGAAAACTGACGAAGTTTGCCAAGGACACAAACAGTCGCACTAAAATATGTTCGTTATGACCAAGTTTCCAATTTTGGATTCTGAATCGGATATAATTTTTGGCTCGGTTTAAAAGTGCATTTACCAAAAATCAATATTTAAAACTTGGTCAGTTTTAGCTTTAAGCCCACCATATTATTATAAATAGGATAGTCTTGCGATAGCTTTACCGCGAGTAAGACGTGCTCGGTACAAATCCGTTCATTCCATTCGAATTCTAAACTTCAAAAAGTTTATCGGTCGAAAATGTTACACACACGCCGGCCAATATACAGTCGAATAAAAGAGGCAGAGAAACGAAATTCAACGCCTCACCGACAACACCGACGCCTCTACAAAAATATACCTTTATGCCTCCAAGGAATCCACAGCATCCTTTCTCTAAGGCCGCAAACAGGAACAGCAACACCACAACTTTGTCATTACAACAACACCAACGCCACTTCACACACACATTTCTAATAGAAGCCACAATCACAACATCCAGGATTCAACTGGCCCTTAAATGGGAAAAGGTGAAGGGAAACAATAAAGAAAGAGCGCCTTCTTAGTAAAAACCAACGAGGAAATCGAAACATCAGCTAGTGTTTGAAAAACAAATATTAGCATCGTACAAGATACACCAAAACAGCTCCAAGAGGAATTCAAAACCGACAAATATAAGCCACTTATTCTGTAGTAGCCACAGGGGTTGAATTGGAAATCACATACGACATGTTTCTAGCAGCTACAGAAACAAAAATGATTACAAGCTTTGATTACTCCGTTACAATCGTTGAAAAACAGGAAGATTTTAATTTAGTTTATCTCATATTGTAGACATTTTTAATACTTGAAACTTTTTTATAAGCATCAACGGTTCTAAAGTTTTGCGCACTTTCTTTTAATTATTCAAACGCTGTTTCACAGCCGGAAATATTTTACCTTCATCTATTACGACTAGACTAGTCAAAATGCCACAGGATATGAGTGTCTCAACCCCAGATCAAGCAAAACAATTTTGGTTGTGTGGCTGTGTAACTAGACTAATTAATATTATTTTCTTTCTCTAGGTGATATGGAGATAACCGGTAAAGGGTCTGCTGTCGGTATCAATTGTCAATTAAAATACATCCCCTATTCGTACTTCACCAGGGATTCGCAACGGAGAGTTAAAGGCGTTGTTATGGATAATGGCAACGTAAAGTGGGTAATCAATGGAACATGGGACGATCAGGTACTTCTTCAAATCATTAAATTTGAATAACTATGTTAGAAGAGAAATGTTGAGCAGAGTATGAGTCGTTTTAGTAAAAGCTATAGGCTTTCAGCCAGCTAGGGGGCGCGTAAAATTGACTCATTAAAAACGATACAGTTGCAATTTGCTTTTAAATTGAGCTCTTCAAAACTGATGTTGTCAGTACGTTTCCTTGGAGGGGCTCTAATCGAACAATCTTCTACATAGTTGACGCACTCAACACAGCTCAGTTCAGCCCGGAGAATCATTGAAAGGTTTCCTGCATAGCTTGCTTAACCTCGACCTATTTAAGAAACGCCGTATTAAGTAATAGATTCAAGAAATCTTTTCTATAACATCAAGCAGCGTGATGCAATTCAAACAAACGTAATCAGCAAACAACTGTTGCTGCGAAGTGAAGTTAAGCCGTTTTATTGAGACAAAATTTTGAAACATGTAATTTGTCTCGAGTGAGTGGTAAATTTAGACTTAGTGTATTAGGTATTCTCTTTTTTTGATGATAAGACAGGATATATCCAGCCTTTCTTCGAACTATTATTTAATACGGAGCAGGTTGCAAACTTTAAGATTACGAAAAATCTCCTCGAAATGTTTCAATAGAATTGTTTGTGTCCAAATACGGTCCTAATCGTTGCTTAAAGTTGGGTCACTACCGCTTTCGTCGACAACTGCACTTTCACTTTCTTAGAAAAATCAATTCTGATTATACATGCTAAAATAATGGTAGAAAGTCATGTACCAAAAATTCGAAGTCTGAATATTTTTCGAGTTACAGCTCATCACACTAATTTTCTTTATCTTTATTATTGACCTATTCTGAGCATTTCTTTGCTGATCAAATTCAAAATTGGTACAATTTTATCATAGTGATATCTAACTTTCTGTTTAAAATATGTTTTTCCACACTGCCACTAGATGGCACTTTACCTGTAATCCAAATTTTATTTTCCGCATTGCTTTTTTGAAACGCCAAATATCGCATAAAGGAATGCGCCATTTTAAACATTAAAAGATACTAGACAGAACATGTGCTCTTCCCACGATTCAAGAAACGAAGAAGAAAAGTCTGGCCTTTTTGCTATTGATGGTCAAAGTTCTTCAAAAAATTTATTTTTTTTGAAATATCGGTCGAATGTTACGAGGTATTTTAGTGCAACTCGCTGTGAATTTGTTCTAATGTAAGACTAATATTTTGATGAAACAATCGCCGTTTTGGACAAGTGGTGAATTCTTTAGTTGGAAGATGAAATCAACTCACTTTAGGTTGATCATCAGCAGAACAAATTCACAGCGAGTTTCACTTAAATACATCGTACCATTCTCCCGATATTTCAAAAAAGATACATTTTTTGATGAACTTTGACCGTCAATAGCAGAGGAGCCAGACATTTTTTATTAATAAAAGTTACGTCAGATCATCTTCTTTTGGTCCAAAGAATATCGCAGTACCCTTTTGATCATGAGCTTGCGGGACACCCTGTATATTTAACGAAATGTCTCAGATGGCCCTTCTAAAACGCTGGCATTACAAACTGCTTTGAAACAGCTTCTATGTAAAATAACGTGTTTTGTTTCAATCTACACCGTGAAATAATGTCTAGTTATTACTAGGTCGAAATTGCTCCTGTGACCGGCAACACCGGTACTCCATCGAATCCCATCTATCAAACTGGAAATCCGATATTAGCTTGGAAACGTAGGGACGCACCTAAAGATTCTGAAAAATTCTATAACTTTACTTTGCTAGCTGCCCAACTAAATGAGCCAGAAGATGGAGTTCCACCTACTGATTCTAGATTGCGGCCAGATCAGAGGTGAGTGAAATAAATGTATTGTTTGTAAAATATTAAAAAAACTTAAAAATATAATAAACAATCGTCAAAGTTTAAATAGATAAAGATGGCTGCTTTAAATTGAAAGTAACGAAAATATAATTTAAGAAACTAGAAAAACTGTTCAAAGGGATTGCCGTCGTTTTTTATACATTTTCAATACATGCAACTACTCATCACGCGAGAGAATGCTGCCACTAAATTTTATTCAGGTAGAGGCGCAAATAATTTGCTGCGTCTATTAAAACATTATTTGACTCATAGAGCCATTTCACACGGGCCACTCTGCAGCGCTTCCCAGTGGCGCTGCTGATAAGCGTACGTTGACATTGTACCAGCCGCTCTGCAGCGCTTCTCGGTGGAACTGCTGAGAAGCTCACGTTAACATGAAGCAGACTGAAGTGGCTCGTGTAAACGCCAGCAATTGAACTAATGTATCGCTATCAGTCTCGCTTCTTGGTGGTAGTCAACCACTGAACGCCACAGAAGCGCTGCTAAATCGGTGGTCCGGCCTTGGTCGCGCCCGTGTGAATAGCTCCATATAAATCGATGTACCTTCAAAACGCGTTTCTCAGGGCCAACTGCACCGCTTCGGCTTAAGAGTTAAGTGGAACTTAATAATTTAAGTTGACTGCACCGCAGTTTAAGCGCCACTTAAACCAGTCTAAGTGGCACTTAGCCTAAGCCGTACTTGCGGTTCGGCTTAGCCATAAGTGGGACCTATACGCAAGCGTCGCGGTTTGGTTGACGGGTTACAAATATATACATAACCAAAAACACACTGTTGAAATCACGTTTGGTTCATGCTTGTTCGGCGGATATCTGATAGGGTAAAAATAGGGTTCTTTATGAATTCTTTAATATGGAACGATGACGACGATATAGATGAATTGGAGATAATTGAATTTGGCGTGCCACTGCGGATTAACAATCGTGCAAATCATTTTCATGATTTGGATGATTACACATTTTTTTAAAAGTTTCGACTAACCAAAGAGACTGTAATGGTACAACTAATATATTTATATAAAAACACCAATTCTATTTTTTTCTTTTATTCGGATTTATTTATTTTTTAATTCGGCTTCCTGAAGAGCAATGTCTAATTGTAAGCATTTTACTTTTAGAGCATGCTCTGCTTCTTCTCGCTCTCTTTTACGGTCTGCCGCTTTCATTTCTGACGTCCTTAATAATTTCATTACAAGGGTCCTGGGAAGGTGTAAATGCTGCACCACCGCCGGTCTGTATTATCGATTTTTTTTCTTGGAACACAGCCATTCGGACTTCTTTTTTTATTTTCGTAGGACTCCCGCAGAGATTCTTTACTCTTTACTACGGCGTTGAAATCGGCAGCGATCTTACTCCTGGCATTGTCTTTTTCTCTCCACGTGGACGAGTCAGTTTTCTTGTTTTCGATTATCCCTTTATAGTCTCGGCATATTTCTAATAACCGATATTTCTCCTAATTGCTATAATATGGGAGTGTGCATTCTTTTTGGTAATTTAGTATTTTCCCGATTTCATTGGGTATTCCATTTAATTTACTTTTTTCGTACTGAAAACACTACTTACACAGATTTACACGCTTTCAATCGCCTTCAAAAGTAGTCGAAAGTCCAACCATCGTTTTCTCGCAGACGTTTCTGTCAGAAGCTTTAAAATTAGGCAGGTAAGAAATCCCCTAAAATTATCAAAAATCCCTGAACTAGGTGGAACTTAGTTAAGCGAATGATAAAGTTGGACGGTGCAGCAGATTAGTTTTAAGTGTCGCTTAAGTATTTAAGTGACACTTAGCTAAGTGACGCTTATGATGAAGACGGTGCAGTTGGCCCTCAGCGTGCCACTGAGAAGCGCTGCAGAGTGTCCCGTGTGAAATGGCTCTTAGTTGAAATCGCAGCAAATAGTCGTCTGGTTTTATAATGTTTTAAATTTGACAATTTATAGTCATTGTTGTATTACTCTTCAATTTAGACAAAAATTTTTGTGCATTCAAACCACTAAATTAAAATGGATCGGGTTTTTCAGATCCCTTATGAAATTGACATCGTGGTTAATTTTAGTGAATTTTTTTATCCGCCCTAACCCACTTAACACTTTAATTCTCTTTTGTGAGACAAAGAACAGCTGGATTCGTTGTATTTACTATTTTGTATTTATACTATACTGTATTTATTGAGTCCCTCTTGGGTCCTAAAATTCGAACATTTTAAATATCTACAAAAACTGACAACATAATGAAGAGTTGGGACAAAATGATTTTAATCGACTGTTGAAATAATGGCGTTTGTCTGTTTGTTTCAGGCTAATGGAAGAAGGGCGTTGGGATGACGCAAACAAGGAGAAAATTCGAATTGAAGAAAAGCAAAGAACTGTTAGACGACAACGTGAAGCTGAAGCTGAGAAAGCTGCATCTGAGGGTACAAACTTTATTTTCTATTCTGTAACTTTTAGACTATTTACTTACTGTATGAACGGGAACGGTTGTAACTCGATTACGTTGGAAATAATGTTTGTTCTGTTTTTATCTTTACAGGTAGGCCTTTTACTCCTTACAAACCTTTATGGTTCGAGCAGAAAACGCAAGAGGGCAGTGACATCATTACACATATATACAAGCAAACATATTGGACTTCTAAAGAAGAAAAGCGATGGGCAGATTGCCCAGATATATTCTAATTATAACGTTTATTACATATATACATATTGTAAAGGGTAATTTTAGAAGACAGAAGACACGCAATAGTAATCTATGTGTGTTGTATTGGTAAGACTACAAGTTTTTTAGACAAGTTCTATAGCAGTGGGAGTTTTGGTTTTACGTATTTTTCCTTAATTTCGGTGTGCTAATAATGTTATTGCAATGAAAATACATATTAATAAAGAAATGTCTTATATGTAAATAAAAAAAATTTTTGTTGAAAATTGGTTTTTATATCTGGTTTAACAGAAATAATAGATAAATATATAAAAGGATTTAAAACTCCTTTTGTATTTTAAAAATGGACGGCGTTTTGAGCCTTTATTCGGGTCTTTCCAAGGCTAGAAAGACATGAAACTGAAATAAATATAAAGTACTACAGCCTTACGCCGTCAACTACATTCAGCGATCAAACAACGCGACACCAAAGCCGAACAATAAACATCGCACAATTTGAGTAAATAACATCAGGACCTTATACAACAAGCAAAAGAAAAAAACACCTATTTTTTCTATTAAAATATCGTTGTCACTAAACGAGATATGTCTATTGGATCGGTCAAGGCACATCAAGGAGTGACCAATGCTAGTAATGTTCTATATTTATTTACTCTTAATAGTTAATAGGAAATTAAACCAAATCGTCTTCAAACACTGAGCAAAACTCTTCGTTCTCACCAACTGTTTATTTAAATCTAGAGACTCGGTACATGCTATTATTAATGTGTTCTTCCATATTGCCACAAAATTTTTATGCGATATTCCGAAATAACTACTTCCCAAAAAACTGAAAATTGGAAGAAATGATCAGGATTTGTAAAACTGGAATAAAATCGGATGAAATGTCATATTACAGATCTAAATATTTGACTTATGTTATCAGAGACATTTGAAAAAATATATAAATATATTCAAAGCCGTACTGGATGATAATTCGGCTTCGACAAAAGCGCCGCATCACAGAACAAATACTTTGTAGAAAGACAAGAACAGTCTTCGAATAGTCGACTATCACTCGCCATCAGGTGAGTTTAGCTTGTCTGTGAGACATTACCTATTACTTAGATTCTCCAGAACACTTCGTGGTAAATAGGTTTCAAAAAGTTTCGCTGATTACTCAGTCATGAAAGCTAAAATAAGAATAGGTTTTCTGGCTGTGCCACAAGCAAGCACTTCCAGAACCTGTTTTTCACCTATTCGCCTTCGTTAGCTTTGCTGCAAGTGAGAATAAGGAAGCACCCGAGTCGGTCGCAGATCTATTTTCCTCACATAAATCTATACGAGGATATAAAATATAGATGCCACTGCGTGGTCAAACCACTGTCATCAATCCCAAAGTTAGTTTTGATCAGGGACCCAAAACCGGAACAGAACGGTTTTTTCTTCTGCACCGGAACCAAAACTGACCCCATATGTTATATTAACACTGTTGAGGTACAGTTTCGGTGGTGCGATCGGCGATTACGTTTCGGTGATGCGTTTATAGCCGCAACAGATCGGTTCAAGAGATCAATTCACGAGGTACATTTGAGGAAAACTGTTGAACATATGGACGATGTCCGATCTTTTTACCCTTATTTTGTTAGAAAGAAGAACAATTCCTTTTAAAAAATCCTAATACAATTTACCTACCATTTCTTCCCATTGATGGGTCTATTTGTCTCCATCCATTTTCTTTTACTGCAAAAAATGTATAATTTTCTTCTTCGTAATCATAATTCAACGGGTATTTTCGGACCTCCTTAATTAAATTGTCTTCCTCATTCGCTGAAAAACCGAGTAATTTTCCCAAAATTGCAATTGCGAGTTCTCATTCTCTCGAGTCTACCAGTTCAATCTCATTAGCCGCCGCTTCTCTCGTCGGAACGTATAACTAACGCGCAACCGAAACAGTTCATAGGCAAAGTGTTTTAAAGGAGCTACTGCTTGAAGGTGACGTCATGCACGCAGTGGCATTAAAATTAATAAAAGCCAAAATTTTCAAAGATTAAAACCGCTCAAAATATTATCAAAAATTCAAAAATGGTTAATCTAGCAATTGTATGATAGTTTAGGGGTCCAAGGTGTGAAAGCGGGGGCGCAAAAAATATTCATAACATTGAGACTGATACAAAATTTAAGAAAGCTTTTTCAGATTCTAACATCTTTCAGTCATTTAACAATTGCATTATCTATGCAACAACTGTCCGTCCGATCTTAATGGGCCTTAGGGCTCTCATTTTGTATTGCAGTCAAGTACTTTTCTCTAAATGTATGGCGTGATTGGAACCTTACTTTTTAACTACTTTTTTGTAGTTTCGAGCATTTTACAGAGAACATTTCAAATCGACGGATATCGGACCAACTCATCTTCTAGAAAATTGCATAACGAACAAATTTACAAGTCTAATTTTTTTTAACTTTCCCGAGCGATTCCAATAGTCATCTAAATTACATCACGTTAGAGCCATGCCAATCTGTAACGCTCCTGGCCTATTAATTGTTCGTTTACAAAAGGAAGAATATAAACTTAAACTGATCTCGAGAGCAAAAATAATTTTTTCAGGCCATTAATTTACCTAAAATGTTGAAAATCAATAAACATACATCAAAGATTTAAATATATTTTTTAATAATACATCAATTTCTTTAATCAATCTACACAGCATGTTACATCCAAACACACATCAAAATAATGCAAAAATAAATTACCAGCCAGTATGAACCAGTATTCCAATATTACGTTATGAATGAAAACGGGTTGAAAATTTAAGTACTCATTTTAAAGTATGCTGAACGTAAACATATGCATCAATTGCTTAACATTTAAAGCATAGATGAGAATGCTGTTGAAAGTGATGCTTAAAATTGGGCCTTTAATTAAAAAACCCTCTGAACGACAGAATATGGGTTAAACTTATTATCAGCGCATTAAGCAGCGTATCATGAAATTTCAGTGCTTTCATAATTAATTTTGGACATTAAGATTGAAACACAACCAAAAAATGCCAACACGGAATGCGATCTTATGTATGAACAAATGCATGTGATGTAGTTTCACCATTCTCAATCGTCAAAAAATACTGACAGAAATACAAGCAATAAAACAGTCAAACGAGGCATTAAACGCCAATATACAAACGCTTAAAGTTTTATCTCCTAGGTATGTTATTATTAACACGTAGGTAATGAGTGTCATATTTTACTTCGTAGTATTAATAGAAAAATGTAAGAATTAAATTACGCAGAAAGAAAAATATTGATATACAATCTAGCCTCGTGAAGTGATGAAAATGATGTCTTGTATCCATGAAAATGAAGTTCCCATTATGCAGTCATTAAATTTCGAAAATGTGTCAGCTAAACTATTTCAACCTATTTTTTTTGTTCATTAAAATTTTCGCCGACATTCGATACATGTTTTAACGAAGCTAAAAAATAAAATTTCTAAAAAATATATTCCAAGCGAGAGATTTCTATGATGTTCTAAAATAGTTAACATTCATCCATTCAAACTGTCCCATGTATGGGCTGTGCGGCAGTTTTCCATCAGCAGTCATGAGATTCCATTCAATCCAGAGCATACTTTACGTTAAGAGGATTGAGCCTAGAGCAGAACTAAATTATATTTGCCATGTTTGATTATATTGGTTTTAAAACGACGAATCGTTCGACCAGATCCAAAAAGTTATAATACTTTTAGATAAGATAATGATACCTGCCTCGAGTGGTATCATTATCTTATCTAATAAGTGTCTCGAATAAAAGAAATTGTTATCTAAAATGACGTTAAAATACCAGATTTTTGTAAAACATTTTTTTAAGACATGTTCCTCTGATGACGTCGGGCTATAGGCCCACCAGTTATTAAAAAGACTAAAACATACTGCTAATTACTATAATATTAATAATAATACATTATGTACCAGAGCTCACGTGAGCCCCTTGCAAGTTTGGGCGCGGGCTTGTTATACTCCAAATTTAACGTTACAAATTTACTTCAACGCCGCTGAACAAACAAATTGACTGAAAATGGTCTGTATTAAGCATGTTCTGGTGGCCTACTAACATCTAAAAAAGCTATAAAAACTATGACAGTATGTTTATGATGATGATGATGTGCTTCTAAAAAATTAATGTTTTTCACAGTAAATCAAAAATACTAAAACGACGTTTCCTGCAAGTTAAATTTGACATGCTAGGCCCGCGCTTGCATTTGTAGTATTGTGTTGACGTGAACTAAATACAGACCCGCGCCCCGCACTACTACAACACAGCACTTGATAGTTCGGTATTTAGTGGTGCCCCCACAAAGGGTCCTGGAAAGTGCCTTAAGATTATGACACATCCTGGTCCTCTACGTCTTGCAGCTGCTCTTTGGTTTCTGCTTCACCTAAAGAAATATTTATATTATAAATCAATTACTGGCTAGTAAGTGAGGCCGGGATTACCCAATTTCTTAATTTAATACTTAATTTTTAAGAACGTCATGTGTCGATATGATCTAACCTGAACCGCTGTTTACGTTTTGTTTTTAGCCTGTTTGCCTTTTTTATTATTTAAATTATTGTTCACTAATCGACAAATGATTGCATTCGGTCTGAGTGGACAATTATTTACTCTACAGGTATTTACTATTCAGGTGTGTAACTGTATACAGGGTTGCCATCTTCTGAATCTTTGTATAGGTAACTTCTACGTTTTTAAAGATAGAGAATCCGTTAAATGGGCAAAATTGGGCAGAATTTGATTGCCTAATCATTACCGTTTTCAAAATTTAGGTACCCGATTTGGTTCCTGAAATATCATGAAAATACAAGAAATCAACACTTTTTTAATTATCACATATTACGTAAACTGTTTAACTTAAAAAAAAAGTAGAAACTGCACTTAGTACAACTTTTTGCGTTGAATCCAATAAACTAGCACTCGTTGTCATAGTCAACTTGATTTACGAGATAAAAAATAAAGTTTTGTTTTTTTAAATGGTAATCATAGTTGGCTGTGGGCTTTTAAAAATCCTTATTTTTTTCCGAATTTAACGATATAATTATTTGTATGTTTTTCTCCTTTTATTTCGTAAAACTTCAAAAGAAGATAAAAAATATGTAGTAGGTTAAAGAAACAAGAACTATATTATCACACAAAGCACAAAACAATAATTAATCGTTTAAATTAAATGTTCAAATTGACTTCCGTTTGTGTCCAGGCATTTTTTGGCATCTTCACATACAACTCGTGAGTTGTGTGAAGGTGCACTATTATGTTAAGTGTAAACATCTTTCGCTATTTAAATTGTGATTATAAAAGAATGGACCAATCATTTTATCACTAAAAATGCCACACCAGATATTCACAAAAAAACACGTTGATCTCGTCTATTTTGAATTAGATGATTATTTTCATTAGCCCCGCAAACATGATTGTGTCTGTTAAATATTCCACTGTTAGTAAACCGAGATTTGACAATAAATAAAATGGCGAGGCGAAACTTTAGATCTAATAGCCCTATCAAACCCTACTAAACCACCTACAAAAACTGAAGTATTGGTCCAGAATATCGAGATGCATAGCATTTGCAATAAGCTACTTGAAAGGCTTGAATTGGTTTTGTTTTAGAATTAACCGGGCTTCTTCCTTTGAAACATTACATTCGCTGGTCGTTAATATCATTGATAAATTTGGATTAAAATGGGTGTAAGCTAAAAGTTTTTCTCCATCTGGTTCTTTAAATTTAATATTCCCCTTTGTTGGCTTTTTAAATGATCCGTATTTTTTCAAGTTGGCTTCCAGTCGTGAAAACAGTTGTTTGTCTGATTGTCTCCTCTCCATGTATTGGTCCAAATTTAGATTGATAGCCATATTACTATGTAATTCTATTACAGGTATAGTAACAGAATACATTTTCCCGTCTTCTTTGCTAACAAAATGCATCATATTTACTTAGCGACAATAATACTTTTAACTAATGACATTTATTAACTCAAACTGCAAAAACTAAAATAAAGTAAAATAACCATTTCGTGACAATACTGCTAGATGCTTGTTAATGTTTTTTTTTTCAATTTTCACAGTTAAAAGAAGAGATAAACATACAAACAGTTATATCGTTAAATTCAGAAAAAAAATAAGGATTTTAAAAGGCCCACAGCCAACTATGATACCATTTAAAAAACAAGTTTATTCTTTATCTCGTAAATCAAGTTGACTATGACAGCGAGTGCTAGTTTATTGAATTCAACGCAAAAAGTTCTACCAAAAACCATTTTAACTTCTTTTCTAAGTTAATCAGTTTACGAAATATGTGATAAATAAAAAAATGTTGATTTCTTGTATTTTCATGTATTTCAGGAACCAAGTCGGGTACCTAAATTTTGAAAACGGTAATGAATAGGCAATCGAATTCTCCCAATTTTGCTCTCCTTATCTATCTTTAAAAATGTAGAAGTTGTCCATACGAAGATTCAGAAAATGGCCACCCAAAACACATTTTTCAAAAATTTTACAATAAAGATAAAAATGCAACAATCCGGCTCATAACATCACTCGAAAGAGCAAATGCGCTGCTTTAGGCGTGAAAAACGCTCTCTAATTAGAGTTCTTTCCGGCAGTTCCTCCAGCATTTTTTGAGTTGGCGAGGCGATTGACCGTTGGTAAACACGGATATTTCAAAAATTTGTCAAGAAAAAACGATTAGGTACAGCAAGTAGATAGCCTTTGTCAAAAATAACAATAATTTGTCAAACTGCGACTGACTATAAAGCTCTTTTCACGAATTTGCAAACATGCGTTTAGTTTTCGGGAAATACCACAGTAAGATAGCAGAAGCTGTAAGAACTCACGCCAACAAAGGGCTGGAGACACTGGAGATTGACTCTACGAAGATAGTGGACGACAATAGATTTGACAGAGGATCAAGTATTGGACATAATAGAGCAGACCTTCTACGGGTACTCAGAGCACAATAACTGACACTTTCCTAAGCACCAAATAAATACCGAGAAAGGACTACATTCCTACCACGTATGTAGGATACATACAGCACAAGGACACATTAAACCAACTGAACACCCGCACAAATTGAGCATTAGGAGTTAATTAACCGAAGCTGCTCGATAAGAGTGGATAATGAGGAGATATACAGGCTTCGATACGGCTTCGAGTTTATAACTCAAAGGTATTTTTATTTGTAAACTTAAATTTGCGGTTATGAGGACAATAATTGACATTTCGTACGTTCGACAGTCAACGAATTCTGTTGAATTTACCATTTATCCTTGTCTATTTTCTTGTCACTTGTTTTGACTTGTTTTCTATTCACTTCTCTGCATAATTCCATGACCGCGCTTTTTTAAATTACGAAGCAACAGGTATTTACATAATGAGTAAGACAGATTACCTTCACAAACATTGCTGTCGTCTTTTTGATATAGTTTGTTGCAAATTTCTCAGTTTTTAATAACAATTAATTTTTTCAGCTATTTTTTATGTACTCCTTCTGTACACCGCCCCAGACAACACCTCACAAATCACACTGTATTTAAAAATCGCAAATGTCACGTGGATGTCTGGACAAATAATTGCAATCAATTGGGCGATGTGGTTTTTCGTACAATCAATAGAAACATAAATTTTCCAAATAGAAAATGTCTAAGTTTTGCAAGTTTTTATTTGTAATGTTCAGCTACAATACTGGTTTGCCAACGGCTGTAACTTACTTTAAAATATTGCTGAATAGCAAAGTTGAAATTGTTATCTTCCATAGCGAATACCTACCTTCCAAAAAACTAAACAGTTTTTTAACATTTTTTCCACCCTTTCCAAATAAGCTCCAGTAAAATTTTCAAAAAAACGATTCCAATTGTTAATCACCCTGATGAAATATAATTTTTCCAACTAGGGGATTTGCCCGCATATATATATGCAAGTTTCACAATGCCTTAATTGTAATATTTAAGAATACTAATTAATGTCTGCTAAATTATCGCTGAACTGCTGTAAAATATGGCTTAGTAACAAAGTAATAAAATTAGATCCTCAAGAGCTCACATCTTGGAGAAACAAAATAAACAACAATTTTGTTTAAGCCCCAGTAACTGCTCAAAAGAAATAACGCCATTTTGGATTATATATTTTTTCTGTACTGAGCAAACACAAAAACGCATTTTGAAATATAGGCATTACACATTTAAAACAAAAACTTTGTAGGTTTCTTCCTTTACTACAAATGAATGTAATACTTCACAGAATAATGTAGATAACCATTTCGTAGCAGTTATATAATTATGTTGGGTATAGCATTATTAACTAAACGCAATACCATGACTAATTATACGAGAATACTACATATGCCAATGGCCGCGGAAAAAGCTTTGAGGTTGTCATCGATATTTTAATTGCCGATAAATAACCAGCCACAGAATATTAAATAGATATATTAACTATTCATGATATTCTCACCTTCTCCATCCCCTTGCATATCACTAGTCCACAATGTTAGGTTATCCCTGAGCAGCTGCATAATAAGTGTGCTGTCCTTGTAACTCTCTTCACTGAGAGTATCCAACTCGGCGATGGCATCATCAAAGGCCGCCTTGGCAAGCCTGCACGCCCTATCAGGACTGTTGAGAATTTCGTAATAGAAGACGCTGAAGTTTAGAGCTAAACCCAGCCTAAAACAAAAGGATATTTTATAAAGAAATACATTCACATAATCAGAATCGACGGTTATAAATAAATAAATAAATAAAAATAAAACATAATTACATTCAATATTTATTACATATACACTTGTGTATTTAATTTCTGTTCGTAAAACGCTTACGAAACTATACAGCTTACCTGATCGGATGTGTTGGAGGTAATTCTGTGGTTGCGATGTCACTTGCACTTTTGTAAGCTACTAATGAATGTTCTGCGGCATCTTTGCGGTCTGTGCCTGTGGCAAATTCTGCTAAGTATCTATGATAATCTCCCTGAAATAAATTGTCGATATTGATAACTCAATTTTATTCTTGTGCGATATTATTCTAATTCGATTCTTCAAAATTCTTCTAAATCGATGCTCCTCAGAAATTCTCTGAACCGTTTTCTCGTACCGTTTCGATATATTCTTGAAATTCACTACTTAGTTTGGGGTCTCTTAAAAATATATGGTTCTGTTGACAATTGCAATAGAGGTACATAAATAATTAATAAATCGCGCTTATTTAAAAAAAACCCATTCAAGTTTCTTGAGAAAAATTAATACCACTTTTAGAGAATCATATTTGAATGTAGGCCACCGTGTTCAATACTACAAGTTAGCAAAATTTAACTAAATCGTCAGGTTTTTTAACTAGCTTGTATAACTTGTTTGCACATTTAGTATCGCCTATGAAATTATGTGTACTTATGTATGGTTTCCGACATCTTTTATAATGTAAATATTTCACCTACCTTCATTTTGTAATAAAACACTTTACTTTCTCCAGTTGAAGCTGCGGGGATCAAATGTTTATCCAGCACGTTAAGAATATCTGAGCAAATATCTCTTAATTCTTTTTCGACCTAAAAATATGAGAATATATGGTAGACAAACACTAAATTACATATTAAATATTTTAAGAGAAAATAAGTAGACAAAACTTTAAAAGTAAATTGGATATATCAAAGTAGCATAGATTTATACAGCAGATGAGTTGCCAGCTAATGGTGGAAATACAGGGTGTTCCATTAAAAAAATGCTTCAAAACGTCAGGAATTTCTTGAACAACACGCACAATCAAAAATGTTATCTTTATCAAGCAGTTTTTCGCGCCCTTCATTTTTGTTGCAAAAATATGGTGCAAATTTGGCAGATCAAAGAAACTCAGATGCAAGACTGTATAATAGACATTTGAACAATAATTCAAATTAAAAAAATATCAAAAAGATACCCTATCGCATGTCCATAGTTAATTTGATCATTAATAGGTAAAGCTTTACAATACCAATACGATCTGCTATCGCCCACACCCACCGTATGCGCAGCCGAAAATTCGATACTGCTTAACCATGTTGCCAAACTGTCACCAAGTCGAAAATCTCAATCAAAACAAACAGTACAATAGGAAATTGCAATCTAGCAGAATTTTATGAAGTTCAGCTTCAGTTACTCATACACGCTATTAGCTGCAAGACCGGCCGTCCTAAAATGTCTGTCAACTTTTAAACTAACTTACCAAACTAACCTTTCAAATTATTTAATTCTTCGGGACTGGCACGCCGGTCCCGACGTCTATATATTATGTCCTTTGTTTTGTTTTGGAAATTGGTGAATTTCAGAGAGTTAAAAGTGGTGGAAAACGGCATTTTCTCGAAAAGTCTATAGGAAAACTATTGTTTGTTATGAGATTTCCTATAAGGTGAGCATAGTCTTACTCGGCAAAGCGGCAGTCTTGGTATCAGATCATGGCGTAAATAATTACCTTATTGTGATTTAAATATAAGCTATTTTCGGGAAATCATAAGCTAGTTTTTTTTTTAGTTTTTAAATGTAGACAATAATGTAAATTACCAACTCATGCAATCTTCTTATGTACCGTGTCCTTTCGGTACGTTGGTTACCAACAACGCTAGCCGCACTTTACGATGCCGACTCATGCAATGAATGTACTTTCGACAATTTTTGACGAACCTCGATTAGAAAATTAACCCGTTTTTATGAGCGCCCCGATTATTTTCTGGATAAACAGATATCTACAGGAGGTGCATTTAACAAATGTGCTCGGTTTTTAATAACTCAATTCAAAAAAAGTTTAATGTTTTTTTAAATAAAATATTTATTTATATGCTGCATTATGCTATTGGCGTCTGCAACATCAAAATAAATATACCCCTCATAACATTTGTCTCACTTAAAGTTGTGTTGACTCTACTAATTATGAATCGCTACGGCTTTCGAGATACTCGGTGCTTTGTGTGCTTAAAAATGTGGCAGTTTCATAAAACTTTAATCCTGAACACATGTATTCAATCGATTCAAATCGAAATTTCACCTTTTCTCACCTCTACTCAAAATAAATGCAGTTTTGTTCCATAACCATACAAGGTATAACAATAGTATACCTAAACAGCTACGTTTTGAACGGTTGCCGAGTTTATATGGAACACCCTATATTTGAAGCCAAAAACATAAAAATAGGTAATTCTCTATTGAACACTAAAACTATTAAAATTCATCTTTTAATGACCATTTACCTGTTGTCGATATTGCCTAATCATTTCCAATTTGTCATCGGCTCCTTTAGACTCCTCTTTCTGCTCGATCGATGAGATGATTCTCCAAGAAGCTCGCCGTGCTCCAATTACATTCTTATATGCGACAGACAAAAGATTACGTTCCTCCACCGTCAACTCAAGGTCCAATTTGGCGACCTTCTTCATAGCCTCTACCATCTCTGTCAAATGAAAATATACATACTTAGAGTCAATGACTGCAAAACAACTATGTTTTGTTAGGTTTCAGCTAATCAAGTTCATTAATTCAGAAAATTGATAGGAAGTACTTCTGAAACCATTTCGTAAGAAATTTTCTTTGAAGTGTCTTGTAAATGGGTTATTTCAAACGAATGCGAAATTTGTACTCGAGAAAAAACCTAACATGAACAAATCTTAAGCGTCCACTACTACCAACAATTACAAGTTTTTATTTTCAGCACTGGAGTAAAAATTTCAACTAAATTTTATTTCGATACTCATAGCGCTGCTTCTATATTTCATAAATTTAATCCAAACGATTGACTATTAATAACAAATATCCCCTAAGTGGCCAAAATAAGATGTTAAGTCATGCTACAGACTAGGATGTTTCTTTGTCTAGTAAGATGTTCTCTTATCTCAGTGTTTCTTAAATATAACTGGTGGGGTTGTAATGTGTATATACATTAGAACATGATGGTTAATAGTGTGGCGATGTACCGTCTTGCTCAAACCATAGACAATCATTAGAAATGCTTTTAAAATTAGATAAAGTCGAGGAATTCCCGGAGTTATATTTTCTTGTAGTAATTGTAATTAATTAGCGCCATTGGATGTAATGATACAATTCTGCCTGTTGCCAGAACCACTCAAACAGAAAGTTGCATCATGCGAGAAAATTATGCTACTAAAAATTGCAGGTCGTTATGACATACATACTGACTCCATCATTTTGTACGAAATGAACTGTGGATGGATGCCGTTTGATCCCCATTAAAATTTTTAAAACAAAAAATTTAAATCCCTTCTGCTCTGCTATATGTCGTGTTTATTTAATATTAAGAACATTTATGGAATAAAAAAATGTTCTTCTACTACTAATAAAACTTCCAGTTTTTGTTCTTGAAGCTGCCGGTCGCCCGGTATAGGTTTATAGTGATCCCTCCCAAGGTCCTGAATTTGCTGTGTGTCTTAGTTTAGACAGATCAAGGTTCTTATCGTTAAACAATCCGCAGCCTTCTTGTGTTCGAGTATTATTTCCACAACTAATCACAGTTAGAACTTCACAAATGCAGCATTCTAGCCTCAAATATAATAAGAATATAAGTACTTCGTATTCACCACGATAGTACCAAGAAGTCAACTCGTTTACAGTTTCTTAGCAGACTATAATAAAATAAAACGAGCACATTATCGTCTTTCAAAGAAAATATTAAAAACAGTAAATCCTAGCGTTTTTCCTAAAGGAATTTGTAAACATACATACAATAATTGGTTGCAAACCCATGCAAGCAAAGCACAAAGCAATAACTGAGGTTCCCATTAAAAAGATAAAGGACTTGATCTATTTTTATACGACGTTAATGGTTAATGTCGCCATGAAAAATACTTTTCTACCCAAATGTTGGCATATGCATAGGTGTTTTGTTGTAATTCAGGTTCAGATAATCGTGTGCGCTTTTATACGATTAATTTTTTTTTTAATAATTAGTAATTAACTATTCTAATCATAAAAAATCAGCGTAAAACAAAAGTTTTATATAACGTGGGGTAAACATAAACTAAATATCATCAATTATATAAAACATGGAAACAGAGCGGCAAAAAGATATTTTGGACGGCCAGCAACAGAAAAAATAGTTCGAGAATAGAAAAACAGTTAGAAGGATAAGTGAAAAAGTCGGAAACAAACAATCGAAGCATGGGAATATCGGTTCAAACATCTATCAAAGCAATAGTCATCAAACCAATAAGTCTCAAAAAAGTTGTAATTTTAGCTAGTTGGACGGACGAAAGAAAACTACTATCATGGTAATCCTCAATAGTACTACTTCAATCTACTGCCATAGTAAATTATTCGTGACATTATTATTCACGTTCAAGAAAAAGGTTGAATGGATGAGACAGGATTGAAATTGTGGATAAAAAAGATATAAGCAAAGCGTCCATGTGCGTTGCTGAAATGCGTGCGATGTTAGTGCGGATCAATGCAGAACGCATACAAAAGAGTCAGAAAAGTAGAAGTTTTTTAGCTTCGTATTTATAAACGAGTATCGAATCAAGACTATGCTCGTATTCCGCTAGGTCAAGATCGCACTTAAGCCCGATGTTCGCTTCAGAAACTAGGGTTGATGCATGAATTCTTCGAGATTTCATACCACTCTTCATGATGCATGATGATGAATCTATCAATAAACCATTTAAGAAGTGTATGTGAGAAGAGTGGAATAAATGAATGGCAACGCCAAATCATGACGACATCGCAACCGGACGTATGAAACGACCAACACTGTCTGAATTTTGCAACTGGTTGATAACTTCATGGGAAGTCATAAACGACGAGACTATTGCAAATTCATTTAAAAACTGCAGAATAAGTAATGATATAGAATGTGTGCTATACTATGTAGATAGTACTGAAGAAATTGAAATTGAAAGAGAAGACGACTAGAACGAGTTGTGTTAACAATAAATAAAAATTATGACGCGAAAGCAACATTAAAATATTCTTCTAAAAATCATTTGCTACATTTGAGATGCCACTTATCGTCTCATAGTCCGAAAAATAGGAAAAACTCTAAAACTATAGTACAAGCTCAAGCGGAAACATTTATCAAAACATGCTTGTCGGGCCGGTAAGTTTCTTAACCGATCTGTAAATTGCCGTTTTCCAATACATATCCCCTAATTCGTTAGTAGATTTTCAAGGGAGTGTGCCTTACCTTAAGTGGAAGGTGGAAGTAAAGTAAATGTAATTTTTTGGACGAAGTAAAAGTTTAAACATACTAAATTGCTCTAAAGCAGACAATATTTTTCTGTTAAAGCAACAGATCCCAATTGACCTGGATGTAGAGCCGATTTGAAAAAATGCCAGAAATAAATTTAAGGGATTATTCAAAAACTCAAATGACGTGTATGATGTACGATTTTTGTAATAACAGCAATAAATAAATACTGATAAATAATAATATTCTGTAATAAAAGTATTGTTCAAGTATTTTTTCTTTTACGTTTGCATCCGCATCATCAATCGGACACAAGTAGAAACTCTTATGGTACTGGCCAAAACATGTTTTTAAAAACTAAAACAAAGCATTTAATATTTGAAATTTTGAAATACACAGGATTATTCTTAAGAAAATTTCAAATGAGACTAGGTATACATATTTATATTAACTTTTTCGTAGCATACTTTCTTCGGAAACTACGATCGTTGGATAATTTTTGAAGCCTCTCAACAAAAGTAAACTGTATAAGAACAAAAATTAAATGAAACAACAAAATTTGACAAAAAAAATAATTCAGCACATGCAAATTTTCAAAACTTCTGTGTGTCCTTTAATTGATTAACACATACCATTAATAAGACTTTGAATGAAATAGTATATTACATAATTAGATTTGTAAGGAGCACTTTACGTACGAATGGAAAAGTTGAGTAAGTAAATGCTTTACAACTTGAATTATGTACCATACTTTACCTACGACCGTGATAAGTTACTAAAACTGAAAGAAAAATGTGTATATCTTTAAATATGTCAGTTTTGACAACAATTAAAACGTTGACAGCAGTCCACAATGACAAATTAAAACGTCATACGTTCATACACAAATATTGAATAAGTTACATTCTCCCGACAAGTCTTAATGTTGTTTGTGGACAAAATATCAGGCTTCTTGCTTTTAAACCATCAGACTCACTTTTCAATAGGGTAAGTATTTTTTAATACAAGATACAACGTGTATATTATGATGAATGATGACAGAACTGTGCGTTTGGTTAACAATATGTACGTAAAATGGAACTTACTTAGATGGTAGGTAGTGTGTTTAATACGACTTTCAGTAGTGGTCGTATGTAAAGTATAAATTATCTTTTTTTCAGATAGTCAAATGTCCCATGACACTTCTGTCAAATTTGTTACTAATTCTAAATCGTCTGCCTCGAGTTCCAGTACACTAATGAGAGAAAAATTTTAAAACATATCATAATTCAACACTCCAGCTTGAGCTCTTGATTCTCTGGGAAAAAATGCTTATTCAGATGCCATTGAAAAGTGGAAACATTTACAATATATCTTCTAAGATATTGTGGAATTACCTTCAGATAAAAAACATTTTCTGTGTCATTATAAACAATCACTAAACATATTACTTTATAGCCTACATGCCGTTTAACACGCGAAGAAAATAATTAGACTTTAGAAACAATTAATGAGCTACATGGAGACACTGAACTTTTCGTATTAGTAATCAAGTTTGAAGCACGCAGACGTCCATTTTAAACATGTTATGTTTTCAGACGAAATAATTAAGAACATACCTAAATGGAATATAGTAATAGTAGGAAGCGCAAAGAGAACGTTGCGTTCTAATTTCCATTTTTGAGATTATATTATATTACTGTTAAACTGTTCTAAACTCAATAAAAATTGTGAAAAAGAATAGTTGCATGTACTTACATAGGTACTAAACATAATTAAGTAAGTACAACTAAATTTAGCTATTTTATCAAATTTATAGTTTTACTCACATTTATTTCTATACGATGAGCTCTAAGAGATTGGTCAAAAAACTTTGACAATCTGCCAAAAACGAAATATTCAGAGCAAATATTTCACATATTTGTATTCCATAATTTATATATAAACCTAAGATTTTATTTAGAAGCATACTACCTATTTTTTACTTACTATTTGAAAAAGGTAGCAGAAACGCTATCGAAACGTCTAGATATCGTTTCTTAATTAATGCCATTTACTAACTGGAATTTTCTGTTTAATTTGAATGAAAATGTGTCGTGCCCCATTAGGTGATTTCTATATTACGTCGAAATAAAGAATTCGTTTATGTGAATGGGTAGACACCTACTCATTATCAATTCGTAATACGACCCCAAATTTGAGATGAAATACTGAAATGTATTGTTTATAAGCATGTACCCTTATCTAAATTAAATATGTTTTATTTGGCCGCCTGTGTGGACCAAGTATATTGCTTTTAAAGTCTAGGTTTACGATCCTTCGAAACCCGAAGCGAATGTACCCGAAAAGACGCCATTGCCTATGCCAAATCTCCAACCCTAAATCTGTCTGTAGGCACGTGTGGCTCTCCACTTTTCCGATAGATAAGTAATTTTATCTTTATAGGAGTTAGGGCAAATTTATGTGATTATTTTTTAAATAAAAAATTAACCATTGGCGTAATACATCATAGTTTTGGCACTCCAAATGGCAATTCCAAAGAAAATCGACTATTGACAAGAATGTAAAGTTAGGTAAATAGAAAATTATTCGGGGTTTTGCAAAGCTTATTAATCGGAATTCATCAATAAACAAAAAGGGTGACTCCTTCTTGGTCTAGGCATTTGGTTCAGTTGATCAATTGGAATTCTGGCTCATAGAATTGCAGTGAAGTATTTTGGATCGATTATTATGGCTCTTTACACAAAGGAGTTGTCAAATGATCGCTATATTGCCTTTATAGGTTCTGTGCAATTTATTTGCACATACAAATTAAAATCGTTTTGCGTCGTTGAATATATCAGTGTTCAGATATCTCGCCCGCATTAATCAACAACAAATTGCAAAATCTGACTATTTATAAAGGTGTATAAGGTAATCGATAGGAAAGTAGTTTAGCTGCCTACAGGAAGACAGGCTATTAAATCACATAAATACAGATTAATCAGTAAAGAGTCCGAAATATTAAAAAGATTTTGTTTAAACTAAAGTAATTGTTGATTAAACGCTTATCGTACTGTCAGAAATGTCAAATAATGGGAGCGGAGCGTACAAAAACCAAGGCAAGCAGAATGTGTTTGAAAAAATTCACCGCGTAGCGGTACCGATTTAAAAATACAAAAAATACACTTACCATCGTATCTCTCAGCCTGTTCGGCTAATTTAGCCTTGTAAACGTTATCCTCTCTTTCAGACATTTTCCGATGCTTTCGGATTAATTTTCACCACACTACACTCACAATTCAGATCTTGTCTCACGAATTCCCAATATGGCCGCGCCCGCCACACTGAATTACGATTACCAACGAACTAGATCTTCGTACTCAGTCGACAAGAAATATGTCCTCTAGCGGTAAATTTGAAATGGCGATTTGTCGATTTATTAAATTTTCTGCATTAATACGATCAGCAGAACTTGAAAATTTGCAGTAACTTGAGCACAAATTTCAAAATATTTTTGTTGACAGACTTCAACATTGTTTTAGAAAACCGTCATTTGTTGTTTCGCAGCTCTCTTAGCTATAATAAATGCATTTGAAACAGCCGCGTTTTAATTCAAGCGGCAACATTTTTGCCGAAGAAATATTCCAACTGGCATGTTAAGGATAGATATGTATAGACTTTTCTTGTGAATTACTAGCTCTAATCTGCATTACCTGATTTTGACCTTATGAACTATTTCAAGTAATGGTGGTTGCCTAGCGGGAAAATAGACCAAGCTGTGTGAATCTGTCGCACACATAGTACATATACAGAGTGTTCTGAAAAATGTGATAGTGGTTTCGAATACATACAGAAGGTGCCAAAAAAACATGGAAAGTTCCTATGAATAGTATATTATATACCTAGGTCGAGAAGTGACCTATTAGCTACTAATACGGATTATATTGCCTAAATAGATTTATTTAATTAATTTCATAATAAATAATTAAATTTCCTATTAATTTTCTGAAGTGTTGCAATCTTTGACAGCCTGGCGTTCAGTCAAACTGCCGTAATATAGTTTTAGGTCTTCAGAAAACAGATCAAAGTTCTATGAAACACTTTTGGGAAAAGCGAAAAATTAGCGAATCTTAAAGTTACCGTGATTTATAAGTGGAAATGAGTAGAATCCCACTAGAACTGAGAGCGGCAAGCAAAATAAAAATAATGAAAAACGCAAACATCTTTCATTATTTACCTAGAATTAGATAGTCACTTATGCCGACGATTATCATAAAATAAGACGTAGTATCGTTTCTACTATGATCAGCATCATTTAACTATAAACGAAGCCACAGCAGAAATGAGTATTTACTCATTAGATGTGCTGTCAGAAGTCATAAGAAGTGAGTCTCAGATAGTCTTCAGTCTAAAGATAATCAGTCTTAAGATATACGGTCTAATAAACTATTAACTTGGATTCACTAAATTGACAAAGTATAAATTGTTCGCAGACACTTTATTTTCGAAAAAAACCTAACGATGTGATAAATCACAGAAATCGTAATAAAATGCTCTATTCGGTAAGGCAATAATAAAATAAGAGTAATTTAAAAATTCA